CCACTTCCAGGAACATGTAAAATCTTGTGCCCATGTAAGCAGAAGAACATAATGTGCTCCTTGTACTACTCTGCAGACCTTGTCATCTCTGTCCCTTGTACCAATGTTTTGGTTTCTAGTGTTTGCAGACATTAGTATTCAAGTGGACACTTTGTAGTGTAAAAGAAAAGTGATCTTTATTTTCCGTGTACATTTATAAAACGGTTTTCTCAGCAGCATGTGTAGAAAGGACACTCTCCGATACAGATACATATTCTATTGTAACTATACATACAGCTCTTATTAAAGGAGAACTATGAGGTGAGTGATTTCCACTCACCTCATAGTTCTAGCCGACCTGTGACAATGAGACTGTCACAGGTCGGCTCAGTAGATCGGGAGGTGAGCGAACACATACCGGGTTCGCTCACCTCTCGATCCTGTCACGGCTCTTTGCCGTGACAGGGGGAGGGGCTGGATTCACCTCTCCCCGCTCCGATCTGCCAGCGCTGACTGGCAGAACGGAAGGGGGCGGGTACAGCTGGCTCTGCCTCTAGATAGGCAGAGCCAGCTGTCACTCACGCAGCTGGGCAGATCCCGACGTCCAGGTCGGGATCCGCTCCGGCTGCGGTGTCTCAGTATACCGCCAGCTGTAGCGGAATAGCGGGAGCCGTTACCCTAAGGAGAACTATGCTGAAAAACACTGACCCCATAGTTCTCCTTTAATGTATATATCAAAGTGCTCAGTCAGCTATACAGCTGATATACCCATTTTGGATGAGTACTGTACAATCACATCTATGTTCCGTTTCCTCATACTGAGTGCCTTAGGTGTATTGCCTGTTTTTACGCTGAACACAGGCAGATATCTATATACACATTCAATGTATTTATTCAGTCTTGAGATTTATACAGCTCTGCTACACAGCACGGCCATAGAGGTTGACGCAACATTTTCTGTTACAGTTAGAAAGAATGATAATGAAAGGGCAGCAGAAGACCTATGAGGTCAGCCCTTTACTCTCTTCTCTTGCCAGCTTGCTCCTTGTCAAGACATTTGCATGCAGCACTCCTGATTTGATTCCCCTGCCTCTCCCTGTGCTGCTGTTCAGGGGATTGTAAGAGACTGTTACCAAGTCAAATTCAGGTGCTAAGCCTTAACATGTTCATTTTAAATGTAGTTTCAATACTTTAAATCTGCAGCTCACATTTAAATAATAGCTAGTGATGCTGTCATGAAGGTCCCGGATACCAAGAATTCTGATGGAAAATAGAAGCAGCTGTGCCAATGCAAATGGTCCATTGTTGCCATCAATGGGAAGCCTGCCCTGAAAAATGATGCACAGGCAACGCTTATGCCCATGCACGTTGGCAGACATGAATGCATTGCTGAATTCATTTTATGTATTTATATCTGCTTTTCAACTTAAAGGTATTCTTATTCTTCCTAGAACTTAGAATGAGTGGTAATCATTCTTTCTGATAACACATTAAAAACTAATTTGCTCTTCTATTTAAAGCCTAATGTAACAGTTTTCACTTCACAAAATAAAGTAATTCTACTTTTACTTACTAACCCTTTCAGGTCTCTAAACTAATTCAAAGGCCAATTCCATGTAGGAGCAGAATATATTTTCTCGCCTCTCCAGCGGCCCATGTCTCGTACCTCCCTTTCGTTACTTCTGTCTGTGTTCTCCACTGCTACCATCTTATAAGCCCTACATCCATAGAGGATTCAGCAGTGATGTAGGATTTGCAAGAAGGTGAGGTACCAGCATGCAATGGGGGCCACAAGACTCCAGGAAGTGTAAGATTCTAAAGAAACTGATAGAGGCTACAGTGTTGGCATGGAGGGGTGGAAGGAGACCTAGGCCACTGGAGAGGTGAGTATACTCTAAAAATAAAATGGTCATCTGTGCTATGTTTAGGTGTTCCTAGGCATTGAATGTGGTTTTAGTCCTTTGAATTTACCAGAATTTAATGTCAGTTGGGCTATATTTAGGATACAGCAGATTTAGCGGATACCCTCAGGTCATCAACTGAGGGAAAATTAACTGTAAGCCATTTTGGATCGTTTTATCTGATAGCCATTTGTTCACCATCTCCGGGCAGAAAGAATTGGAAGGAGTGTTCACTTATTAAATATAAATACATAGTTTCAGTATATAAATACATAGTTTCAGTATAGAAGAGGAGAGATATAGAAGCTTTTCACCATTCTCTAAAGCCATGGTTCTCAACTGGTCAGTGGGTTGCCGAATGCCTTCCACTGCACTAGGTGAGAGGCTCCTCCGCCTCCCCCATAGCACAGCACAGTCGGTTCTGGTGCCCAGCAGCCATTCAAAATATGCTGCCTGGCAGCGAGTGTCATTTTGAGGAGGGGTGGGCTGGGGTATGGCCGCGAGGGAGCTCCATCCATATGTGTATTGCTTACAGCTCCCTCGCGTGATTGGAGTGACGTCACATTCAGCACCTCTACAGGGAGTGTTAGAGAACTGGACAAGCAATGCATGTATGGATGGAGACCCATCACAGCACAGCAGCCCACACTGAACCCCTAAAATTTTTTGGGAGTGTGTATGCGTGTGAGATTGTGTCTGTCAGTGTTTTCATCTCAAAATGCCATGCAATTGCACCTACTGTTCGTTCTGGTGCGGGAGGTGCGTTGTGTTGCCATTCATTTAAATGGCACCTCAAACACACCTCTCTGCCCACAGTTTGATCACTTGCACCGGAATATGTATTACCGCGACTTGGGTCGCGACTTAATGACCAAGGACAAATGTGGGTCCTGAGGTAATACAGGTTGAGAACCACTGGTCTAAAGTGTGCTCATATTGCACATCTTCATTTTAACTCCAGACATTACTTTCTGCTTTTGATTTTGCTAGCATTATGATGATAATAATTCGTCTGCCCTTTCTCTTCAAATATTGCAGTGTGATGGGCAAAAAAAGCGGTCAGGCAGGGGTGGTCTTTGTTAAAAACATTGATTCATCTGCTGACCCCAGCTATGGTACCATTGTGCTGCAAGCCATTGGCAGCTTTAATTGCTTTTGTTCCAGTAAGAGTGCCATACAATGTCCGCAAGTTTAAGACCAAATAATAAAATCTACCTCAAGCTTGTTCATACGGAATGGTTGACTGCCTTAAGGCAAGCTTGGCAGCTTACAGACAAAGTCAGGAAGTAGAGGTTGGCCAGAAGTAGCCCCTGATGTAAGCAGACCTGTGCTCCCTGGAATTGGTAAAGGGTACCCATGGAGTGATTCCATTCTGCTCCAATAAATCACCTGCAGATTCAATTTTCCATTATTTGCTCAGTAGAGATGAGCGATTTTTTTCCTTGTGTATTTTTGAGGGCTTTTGATTTTGGTGATGAGGCTTAATTTAGATAATTTCCCCATTTTGTTGTCAGAGGTCTACATTTTTTCCCTGAGCAAATTGCAGTGTGTTTAGTTTGTGTGCAGTTTGTAATGTTGCATATGGCATATTGAATTTTTTTTACTACCACCAGTCTTTTTTTTTTTTTACCGCTTAAAATTGAAATCTGTCTAGTTGCTGTGTGTTAGTGTTTGTTCCTACGGCAATTGTCTACAATAGAAGACCATTATTTGTGCAGGCTGACCACAGAGTTGCAGATATACCCTTGTAATGCTGCATGTAGAGAATCATTTCATTTCTCATCAAAAGTCTTGTCGTGATCTATCATTTAGTACTAATTGGGCTTATTCCATTCTTACTTTCTGTCCAACAAGCAGTAGGCTAAGAGGGGGAAATATTGCAAGATATCTAGGTAAATCAAAGCCATGTACAACTCCAGTTCATATTTTGTACTGTATGCGATGGTATAACTTTTTTGCTCTTGAAAGCTCATCTGTTTTCTGTTGATGGCACCCTTCATGCTTTTGTCCTATTTTCTGAGCCACAACTGCTGGCAGTGCAAGTTATAATTTATCTCATAACCAGACTAGGGCTTCATCCAACCCACAGATCTAGTTGCACCATTGGGTGTGACTGTACTACGGATCAGACTGTAGCTTCATCCAACCCACACATCTTATTGTACCATTGGCTGTGACTGTACTACGGACCAGACTGTAGCTTCATCCAACTCACAGATCTGGTTGTACCATTGGGAGTGACTGTACTATGGACCAGACTGTAGCTTCATCCAACCCACAGATCTGGATGTACCACTGGGTGTGACTGTACTACGGACCAGACTGTAGCTTCATCCAACCCACAGATATAGTTGCACCATTGGGTGTGACTCTACTAGGGACCAGACTGTAGCTTCATCCAACCCACACATCTGGTTGTACCATTGGCTGTGACTGTACTACATACCAGACTGAGCTTCATCCAACCCACACATCTGGTTGTACCATTGGGAGTGACTGTACTACGGACCAGACTGTAGCTTCATCCAACCCACAGATCTGGTTGTACCATTGGGTGTGACTGTGCTACGGACCAGACTGTAGCTTCATCCTACCCACACATCTGGTTGTACCATTGGGTGTGACTGTACTATATACCAGACTGTAGCTTCATCCAACCCACAGATCTGGTTGTACCATTGGGTGTGACTACTACGGACCAGACTGTAGCTTCATCCAACCCACAGATCTGGTTGTACCATTGGGAGTAACTGTACTACGGACCAGACTGTAGCTTCATCCAACCCACAGATCTAGTTGTACACTGGGTGTGACTGTACTAGGGATGAGACTGTAGCTTCATCCAACCCACAGATCTCATTGTACCATTGGGTGTGACTTCTACGGACCAGTCTGTAGATTTATCCAGCCCACAGTTCTGGTTGCACCATTGGGTGTGTCGGTACTGGACCACAATTACATTGCTGTAGATCTCCGGCATAAAAAATTCAAATATAAGAACACCTAAGCCACCATTTTGTATATGTAAAAAAAGGTGCTCCTTAGATGACTGTATTATTACTATATGTACGATGAGCATTTATGTTCCATTGTGAATATATTCTGTGCACTTTTATGCAGGCTGGGGAGATATGCCTCCTGTCCACTCAAAGGCTGAAATCCCTTGGGGGGAGCCCCCATCTCCGTCTGCTTCAGTTGACAATGGAACTTCTGCGTGGGGCAAGCCCTCCAAAAGTGGTTCGGGATGGGTGGATGGCGCTCCAGAATCATCTGGAAATTATGGCAGGACAAATGCTCCAGCTGCTGCCCCTGTGCTGTGCAAACCAGGTGTGTAATGGCAACTTGATCTAATGCTATCACTGTTCCTGAATGATATTTGGGGTTATCTTTTCACTTTTGTTTGGCATAAGATTTTTAGATGCTTTCTACAGCCAGTTACACAATTGCCTTAATTTTGTGCATTATCTAAAGTGGAGCTCCAACCAATTTTTTTCTACTTTTTAGATAGCGTAGGAAAGTTAGATACCCCGTCAGTTTAGTTTTGTTATGTTTTAGTTTTCAGTTATGTTTAGTGCAGGGGTGGGCAACTCCAGCCCTTCAGCTGCTCTTTAACTACAAACCCCAACAAGCCTCTGCCTTGGGAGTCATGCCCGGAACTGTCAGTCTTGCAATGCCTCATGGGACTTGTAGTTTTACAACAGCTGGAGGGCCGGAGCAGCCCACCCCTGGTTTGGTGGATCCACGGACTCAAGCTAGTTCTTCGGCATATCTAGGGTGCATATTGGGAGAAAGGAGCCCACCGGTCCGTTTTTGAACATGTTCTGGTTGGAGAAGTTTCACCCTATTCATATCTCTCCTCAAAGTAAGGTCTGGCAGTTGTCACCATGGAGAGACTTCCTCCATATTCTTCCATTGAAAAATCACAAATGTCAGTGAGAAGTCTTTGAAAAGCAGTATTTGTTCTGCCTTTGCTTTCCTGATTTGGGAAAATAGGAAGGACCTGATATTTTTTTCACCCATTGACTTCTCTTGCTTTTATTTTGTTTTTAGCTCAAAAATCTATGCAAGAAGGCTGGAGTAGCGGAGGAGAAGAAGTTGGCCACAGCCAGTGGGAGGATGAAGAAAATGATATGTGGAATAATGCTGCTTCCCAAGATAGTAATTCTTCTTGCAATTCTTGGGGCAATGGCCCCAAGAAAGGACTTTCCAAGGTATCCATATGTAAAATGAACCTATTACTTACACACAATGTGTTAATGATGAACTCCAAACAGACATAAAATGTACAGTTTATTGCAGTTACAATCATTAAAATCATTACTTGAACAGTATGTTTAAAGCTGAACTCTGGGCACAAAAACATTCATTTATACTGTATACACTATATATCCATGAAGGATATAAATACACTTTGCAAATGCCAGTTATAACCTTTTTAAAAGATATCATCACTGTTCTGTGCAAAGAGCAGAGCTGTGGGAGGGACCCAGTAGTTCTTCCCACTAACCCCTGCTTGTAGAAATATACAAAAGGGGGCAGATACAAGACCAGTCACCCTGCAGAAGGAGAGAGAGAGCGGCAGTGACTGGTCTTTATTACAGGAAGCTCCAAGTTTCACACTAGATTACTGAACAGATCTGGAAGAATTACACAAAGCTCACCAAGATTCAAGTAAGAATACGCATGGCTCTTTGTATTTAGACAATGTTTGCTTATTCTGGAGCTCAGCTTTAAATACAGCCAGTATAAGTACCCGCGCCTGGTGATCTATTAGCTTGTATGTTATATTGCTCCACAGCAGCACTTGGTGTGTGAGAGGGAGGGTCAGGAGTGTCACCCAATCAGGCTGCATTGAAAGATTCTAGCAGGCAGAGGACGCACAATTGGATGACCTAATCAATGCCCTGCTGATACTTAATTCCCCAATCAGTGGGCGATGCCACTGTATTAATTACGTATGAAGGGCTGTCACTCAACCGGCTATGCAATGTGGCAGCGTTATGCAAAAGTGTCTAAACGGAACTCACTTATGTACCGTATTTGCCGGCGTATAAGGCGACTGGGTGTATAAGACGATCCCCTAATTTTCCAGTTAAAACATAGGTTTTGGGCTATACACGTCGTATAAGACTACGCCCCTTCCGAGGCTTCATATTTCCTTCTTCTTGCTGGAGCCATGATGGGGTGCTTGTCTACCAGCCATTTTGTGTAAATACACCCACTAATCTGTCAGCCCGTTGGATGTGCGGTAATACTGTATGTACGGTAGCTTCGGGCTACATACAGTATACCACGCTGAGCCAATCACAGCGAGCAATGTATTCTATTAATGAATACAAAGCCTGCTCGGATTGGCAGAGGTGTACATTGCTCGCCGTGATTGGCTCAGCGCAGTATACTGTATGTAGCCGAAGCTACCGTACATACAGTATTACCGCACATCCAGCGGGCTGACAGATTGGGGACGTTCGAACTAAAGCTTCACATTGTATACCCGGCATATAAGATGACCGCCGATTTTCAGAGGATGTTTTTAAGTATAAAAAGTCGTCTTATACGCTGACAAATACGGTATTTCCATTTTGTATTTAGTGGTTTGGCCATAGTGCATTTGTTCCAGAAGAGACAAAACTCAACTAAGAAAAACATTAGTTACTAAGTTATAGTTTCCTTGGTTTTTATTATTGTTCATATATGTTTTAATTTGCCATCCTATAAGTAGGTATAAATGGGTACCTATGAAAGCCTTTGTAGAAGTAGGATGAAATCCACCCATTGTCTTTAATATCTGCGCATGCTGGGACAGCAAATACAGTAGATACTCTTTAATATTTGTAGATGGCCACTTGCAGGCCCTGCCAATTTCATGCTATCATCAGGCCTGTATGTGACCAGAACAATATATTACAAATGTGGCTTTACTTTCTATTGGCTGACTTTGTTTTTAAAGTTAGGCTTCCATTGTATTTAATTAACTGCTATCATCACAGTTTTTCTTATGCAATTTGACACATTGCCCTTTCAATTACATTTTGAACATTGTGTTTTCCTATAACACAGGGCATGAAGACTCCAAGCAAGTCTGATGAGGCCTGGATCATGACTCGACTGACTAAACAGCTCACTGACATGGGCTTCCCGGTGAGTTTATTGTATCTGTATTGAACGTTTGCCTTTTAGCGTAAGATATCCGGACAGAGGAAGCAATGATATTTTAAAAAAACGCTGGTTACTACATCTTCTGATTTACTAATCCTTATCATTTATAACATAGCTGAACACAACTGATGCAAACGTGACAGTTATTTTAAAATTCCTAACTGTCTTTTAACTAATATTAAGACAATGTAACCAACAGATGTGAAATTAGAAATAAAAACGGTAACTTGGGCTTCCAGGTACCTCCCCAGAATAGCATACCGGAAACCCACATCCCCAACCGGGACTTTAATGGTGCCAAAAAATCAAAACTCATTGGGAGGAATTTTAATAAAACTGGAGCAGCTATGATAGCAGCCAATCAGTTTCTATCTTCAGCTTGTTTAGTTAAGCATTGAAAATTAAAGATAGAAGCTGATTGGTTGCCATGCACAGCTGCCCAGATTTTGTCTGCTCCAGTCTTTGTAGATTCCCCTCATTGTATTTCTGCAATACAGTGACAATAAAGACTTTCTGTTCTATTCTATTTCACAACCTCATAAAACGTAGTTATTTTTTTATTGTATCTCAAATGATAAAATGTAAAAAAACTCAATTACATGTTAACATTTAATATACAAAACAAAGTGACAGATTGAATAAGCTACAATATTGTGGTGTGTGTTGGAGACCTCTCTGAAAACTATACTATGCATCACTTTATGCTTACTATTTGCTTGAGTCTGTATAACTTTCTCATAATTTACTCTACATGTATCAAAAGAATTAGGCTCCATGCACAGCTATAGTTTAGGTGCCATTAGGGATTCCTGCATCAGGAGCTTGCTATTTCTTGCAGCAGGAATCCCTAATCTGTCACCTATTCAAGTTAAGGATCGGATGACAGCCGCTGCATTTGAACGCCAGCACTCCGCATATCTGAGATTACATGCGGTTACGAATCAATCACTATCTCTGGACACACGATCTATGTGTTCAGGGATAGTGATTGATTCCTAACCACATGTAATCATATTACATACAATTACATTGGGTGTGCCAGCGTTCAAATGCAGTGGCTGTCACCCGATCATTAACATTAGGGATTCCTGCTGCAGGAAATCACAAGTTCCTGATGCAGGAATCCCTAATCACACCTAAAATATACACTATATTGCCAAAAGTAGTGGGACGCCGGCCTTTACAAGCACATGAACTTTAATGGTATCTCAGTCTTAGTCGGTAGGGTTCAATATTGAGTTGGCCCGCCCTTTGCCGCTATAACAGCTTCAACTCTTCTGGGAAGGCGTCCACAAGGTTTAGGAGTGTGTCTATGGGAATGTTTGACCATTTTTGTGAGGTCAGGTACTGATGTTGGACGAGAAGGCCTGGTTCGCAGTCTCCGCTCTAATTCATCCCAAAGTTGTTCTATCAGGTTGAGGTCAGGACTCTGTGCAGACCAGTCAAGTTCCTCCACCCCAAACTCGCTCATTCGTGTCTTTTTGGACCTTGCTTTGTGCACTGGTGTGCAGTCATGTTGGAACAGGAAGGGGCCATCCCCAAACTGTTGGGAGCATGAAATTGTCCAAAATGTCTTGGCATGCTGATGCCTTAAGAGTTCCCTTCACTGGAACTAAGGGGCCAAGCCCATCCCCTGAAAAACAACCCCACACCATAATCCCCCCTCCACCAAACTTTACACTTGGCACAATGCAGTCAGGCAAGTACCGTTCTCCTGGCAACTGCCAAACCCAGACATGTCCATCGAATTGCCAGACAGAGAAGCGTGATTCGTCACTCCAGAGAACACGTCTCCACTTCTCTAGAGTCCAGTGGCGGCGTGCTTTACACCACTGCATCCGACGCTTTGCATTGCACTAGGTGAGGTAAGGCTTGGATGCAGCTGCTCAGCCATGGAAACCCATTCCATGAAGCTCTCTACGCACTGTTGTTGTTCCAATCTGAAGGCCACACCAAGTTTGGAGGTCTGTAGCTATTGACTCTGCAGACAGTTGGTGACTTCTGTGCGTTTCAGCATGCTCTGTCATTTTACGTGGCCTACCACTTCGTGGCTGAGTTGCTGTTGTTCCCAGTTGCTTCCACTTTGTTATAATACCACTAACAGGTGACCGTGGAAGATTTAGTAGCATGGAAATGTCACGGATGGACTTATTGCACAGGTGGAAACCTATCACGGTACCACGTTTGGATTCACTGAGCTCCGGAGAGTGACCCATTCTATCACAAGTGTTTGTACAAGCGTCTGCATGCCTAGGTGCTTGATTTTATATACCTGTGACCATGGAGGTGATTGGAACACCTGAATCCAATGATTTGGAGGGGTGTCCCAATATTTTTGGTAATATGGTGTAGGTGTCAATGAAGCCTTAAGGTGGTCATACACTTAACAACCATCGCAAGACCTTATTGTTGCGATGGTTGTAAAGTAATAAAAAAAACGTACAATCAGCCCATCTTGGACAGGCAGATCGTACTTGCGATCATCGGAAGCCCGCCCCCCTATTTGTCTCCCGAGCACCATTCAAACCAGCCGACAATCGTAAGATTTTCGGCTGGTTTTCTAGCGTGCTCCTTAGACAAAAGAAGTGCGACCGTACAGTAGAAACGGTCGCACGTCTTCATTCACACTGCACGATTCTCGTACAATCGCGGGATTTCCCGCGATTCTCGTACAATCGCGGGATTTCCCGCGATTCTCGTACGAGAATCGTGCAGTGTATGGGCACCTTTAATCCTGAATCCTCAGGGGATTAGATGTCCAACAATATTGTCCTGTAACTTTAAACCAGAATCAATTCATACATGACAATCATACAATCAAATTCATGTTGCACACATTGATTATTAAGATTATAAGAACTTCCATCTTTACACCTATTGTGACCTGAAGAAATCTTTTGTGTTTCATGAACAGCAGTATCCCTGTTCTTGAGTGAAGGTGCTTTTGACTAATGGGTTCCAGTTTTGTAGTTGTCCAAATCTTAAAACTTCGTTTTTTCATTACAGAAAGAGCCTGCTGAAGAGGCCTTGAAAAGTAACAATATGAATCTGGACCAGGCCATGAGTAAGTCTTCATTCTCCTAACATTTTCCAGCATCTATTTGGAATCATGAATAAAGTCGTACCTTTAGTAAGGACGTCATTTAACAACACTGTAAACCTCTGCAAGCTTAGTGGAATACACAAGCAGAATTGTGTTACAAAGCCTAAAGCTAAATAAAGTGCATGAAGTTCTAAATGCTAATCACTGATGAGGAACATAAAATCAAGGAGCCCCTGTTAGTATTGTATACTAATACTATGTAGATATTGTGATGGTCGAATTGGAAGTTACTCATGTGACAGCCTCTTTTCCAGCACTCCAGTGATTGTCACTCTTCAGTAAAGACTTCATGTCAATATCTCTGTGACCCTAAGGTTTTGTTTATACCAGCCAACCACGCTGAACACATGGCCGCTGGTGTGTGCTGTGAGGGAACAGTGCTGATTCGCTGATCCCGGCATATTACACTGTTCACTTTTTTTTTGGTTGCAGTTGTCACAACTTTATTGAAATATCACAAGTAACATTTCATTTAAAGAGAAGTATGGTCAAAGCTTTTTTTTTTCTCTTTTGGGTCACAGTTGTATATTTACACACTGAGCAGGCCGAGAGCTGACTGATCAGCAGTCATGTGATCTGTCAGCTCTCAGTCCTGGAATCAGCATGGGACAGCTGAAGTGTCACATGGATGCTGCATCATAGAGGCGAGCATGTATGTAGAGTATGTATGTATGTGTTTATTTTTAACCCCATAATTGTCCTTTAAGTTCTGCTGGCCACATAGTGCGGTTGTGCTCAGTCACACCACGCTTAAAAAAATTACTACATGCAGTACTTTTTTCCATGGTACACCACTACACCACAGTGGTATGAACTGAGTGAATTACAAACAAAGCAAATTGCCTTGTCTTTGTGTTGGGACTGCGCTGAGCATGGCTGTCACTGTAGCCTTAATGCACTTGGTGTGAACAGGCCCTTAACCCCTTCATGACGGAGGCCTTTTTTTTCATTTTTTGCACCCATTTTATATTCCACATTTTAGGCCTGAAAACTACTTAAAACCCCCCAAACATTATATATTTTCTTAAAGCCAAGACCCTGTAGAATAAAATGGTGGTAGTTGCAAATTGTTATGCTGAACGATATTAGTGCAACTCCTTATCAAACCCCCAAACTTAGTGAAAAATGCACTTAAATGCCCTAAAACACAATCAAATATCCATTTTTTAAATATAAAAGACATTACAACGAGTAAATAGATACCCAACATGCCCAGGTTTAAATGTGCAGATCACACTTCAATAGCTTATTGCTGGGCTTCAGGAGCCCAGCACTGACGGCTATGGAAAACGGAAGTGATGTAATATGCGTCGCTCCCGGTCCCATAGAACGGGGAGGGGATCGACGAACGGAGGTTCATCCATCTCCTCCCCAGCTTCCCCCAACACCAAAGAAGCCATTCCCGGGCCCGTAGGAGGGGCAACTGAGCCTGGGAAACACGGCGAGGGTGTCGGGCGCCTGTTCACCAGCCATAGAAGCGATCTGGCGGCAGCTGAGCCACCAGAATCGCTTCTATTTTAAGTCCGACAGTCGTCTTTACAAGTTTAAACAAACCCGATGCCAGTGACGTGCACTCTACGTCGCTGGTCATGAAGGGGGTAATGTCCTTTCTGCTGGTACTGCCTTGTACTGCCTTTTCTGCCAGCCATAAACAAGGTGAGCGTTTCATTTTGGGTGATCATGATCTAATGTATCATGGCGACTTATGCTGTTATATGCCTCCCCTGTTCCATTTTTGGCCTTCTAAATAATCATGTGGATGTCTGTAATCGGTGGCAAGTGATCCACGTTTGGAATGCTTCTCATTGTGTTTTTTTTATTCTTTTTAATGTGTAGGTGCTCTACTGGAAAAGAAGGTGGAAATGGACAAGCGTGGATTGGTAATGGCTGACTACAATGCCGTTGTCGCCAAGCCCTTGAGCTGTCGCCCACCACCAATCTCCAAAGAGTCTTCCATGGACCGCCCCACTTACTTAGACAAGGTAATAAGGATTATTTGACACTGGAGGTATAGGACACCTTTTCATTAGGTTGAAGAGTGAACTTTGGAGTATTTCAGATGTAGTTAGTGCTTTAGAATGAGTCATAAACTATCAGGGGTTTTTTTTCCTCGAACACTGATTTCATATGCAATGTATGAGAAGCCACACTCAACAGCCAGGACCTCAAGCCAGGCTCTATGATTAAACCTTTTTGGCGAAACATGTCGGAGCCTGTGGATCTTGTTATGCTTGTAACGTTTTAGATTCCTGGGAATAAACTTCTATAAATCGAGGTTCTGCTGTTGAGTGCGGCTTTACATCTATTGGATTACTAGTGGCGGCCGTGATGTGCCTCTGTCGGCTGGCACCCGACTTTTTGGACAGGACTGCTGAGTTTGGGCGTATACAAATATGAGCGGTGTCCTTTTCACAAACCTGATTTCATTTCATTTGTATTGCCTCCTGCTGGTGAAATCTGATATTGTTCATCTTCCACTAAAATAATGATCATAAGATATTGATCTTATAATTGATGAAGATGTACTTAAGCTTGCCAAATGAATGTATTCAACATTGCAATTAGGGTCCTGCACTTTTTTACAAGTGTTTTTTGGGGATGAGGAACCCATGTCATGAGGTCATCTGAAGCAGATGTCAAATTTTAGAGAGGAAAAAAACCTGAAAATCCTCTTTAATGTGGGCGACCTTACACATATCTAAATACTGTCACAGGGCTGCATGCACATGGGTTTAAAAAAGAAGAGTTAAGTAAAGTTTGCGTGCTTAATTGTTAATTAACTTCTTGTTAGGCTTAATTAGCCCCTAATAACTTTTTTTCGTGCCCTCTATGGATTTATCTTTAGCCATTTTTTGTTCCATTTTGTTTTGGGCTTTTTTTTTTTTTTTGGCAGTGTAAATGGTAAAAACAAAACGTGCATATGCAGAAATTTAGAACTCACTTTTGCTCTGTTCATCCTGTTCACCTGTTAGCTGATTAATTGGTTTCCTCAGATGTATTGAATGCTGGGACTTGTGGAGGAACGAGTACACAGTATAGTGCTTCCTGTGTACTCGTTCCTTCACAGTAGTTTGGATGAACCGCTAGTGATGTCAGTGGCCACTATTTTGGTTGATTTTAGCAACAAAGTTGTGTTGGGCACATCAGGGCAAAAGGGTATAACATTTATGTTGCTGATTTAATAAATGTTCTGGGCTCATTACAATATTGATTTTAATACAAATGTGCAGTTGCTGTTAAAAGAATACAAGGTCATCAGTAAAAAATTATATTTTGAAGAGCAGGATGCCATGGTTTACACAAACAAATTAAAGTGACACTAAACTCAGGAGTTAAATCTTAAAAATACATTCAAGTAACTATTAACAGACTATTACCAGAAATGTATCTTTTTTTGTGTATCACTCGGCTGCAGATCCTCAAATCATCTCTAAATTGGTGCTGACACTGTCCTTCCTTCTGGAGGGGGGTTACTTTTGTTCAAGCTCACTCCTGTGATGGACTACAAACTCAATACAAGTTATTAAACTAAATGTGAGATTGTAGTCCATCACAGGACTGAGCTTGTAGTGGTGGCTACTGTACAACACACACACAAGGACCATGGGGAACAAAAGTAGCGCCCCTCCAGAAGGAAGGACAGTGTCTGGACCAATTCAGAGATGATTTGAGGATCTGCAGCCGAGTGATACACAAATAAGATACATTTTTGTTAATAGTTAAGGTCCTTGAATGCATTTTTAAGATTTAAATTAGTGTCAATTTAAGATGATTTGACTGGAAAGTACCTATATGAACCTGTGCCCAGATGATGCACACTATTTTTACTAGGGATGCACCGATACGGTTTTTCAGTATTGAGTAAGAGTACCAATATTTTTTTTTCCATACTCGCCGATACCAGAAGTCCCGTTAAGGAAGCCAGGCGGCGTGTAATGACTCACCATCTGGCTCCCCGCCATCTGGCTCCTCGCCATCTCCATATGGCGAGGGAGCATGAAGCCTGCTTCCTAGCCAATCGGGAAGCCGGGGGACAAGTTATTACCCACCCCCTGGCTTCCTGATTGGCCGAGAAGCCAGGTCCATGCTCCCTGGTGATGAGAGAGCATGGAGCCGGATTCCCGATACCGGAAGTTCCGCTATTGGGATAGGCATCGGGAGCATTTGGGCGAGTAGGAGTACTCGTCCAAATACTCGATATCGATACAATCTAGTTTCGGTGCATCCCTATTATTTCCATATTCTAAAGAAGCAGTAAAAACACTTTAAAACAACCCATTATCCTTTATCTCTGTGTCTATAAACATTGTGGGGAAATTAATATTCCAAGTTCACAACACATGCAGTGATACTGTCCTTACCAAAAAAAGGTATCTGAGGGACCATTCACACTGTTAATTTATTGTGATAAGACAAGCCTGTTCATTAATATAGGCTGCCTAAAGCACCAAATCACACCAAACAAGGGGCATGCAGCATTTTTGGCAATGCACATTACTGCATTGCTGTGTGTTCTGCTGCGCTACAACACAAATGCATTGGTTTGCTATTTAGATTGAATGGCGTCACATTACACCAATCCTTGTAAAGCACTTTAGCGTAGCGCAATAGTGTGAAAGGGGCCCAGACAACAGATCTCAGATCGTCTAATGTGAACACCCAGCAAGTGTTTCCAAGCTGTTAGAAACCTACTGATACTCCGTCTTTGTTGTGATCTTTGAGAATAAATAAGTTCACAGTACAAACAGCTGGAGAGGTCAGGGGGTTTTAATGCTCTTTTACAGCTTGATGCGAATATGTAAGCCATTTAAACTCCATCGTGTGGTACACTTTATAGATTGTAAGGATTTTATAATCAACACATAGGTAGGTGAATGTTTATGAGCACACCAAAATAGCCTCTGTAAAGATTACATTCAGGTTCTCTTGTACCGTTTGCTAGATTTGTGCGCACTGGCGGTTTGTGAATGTAATGACTATTGGGGATATTGTTCATTTGGCCGGGTTTCAGCTACTTGACTCTCTTTGCAGTCTGATAAGACTTGATGTCTGCTGTCCAGCAGAATCTAGGTTGTGGGGGTGAAGCAGAAGGATTAATGTTCTCCAGAATGAACAGCTGAGCTATAGAGAGACAGACTTCTGGCCATGTGCTTGTCTTCTAAATGTCAGCAGAGCTATTAGGTCATGAGAAATCCTTTCCATCAGAGTTCTGTCTGCCTTCCCAGTTTAAAGATAACTCTTTGGTGTCTTGAACAGCCGGCACATATCCTTACATTTTAAATATTAAAGGTAAAGCTCAGTCAGTCTTAAAAATTTAGCATGTAACCATCTACACGGATATCTCAATTGACTCGTATACTGAACGCCTCCTTAAAATGTTTTTCTATGCTAAAAAAATATTCTTTTGGGAAAAAAACACCCTCATGCATATATGGGGACACTCTGTTTTGTCAAATTCTGTGCTCCTAAACCAAGCTAGCGGGTCTTGTACACCTAGTCACAAATAAAACACGGAGGTGGCCTTACTTAATATGCCGCTCTGGTAGCACCATCTAAGGCTGGGCACACACCTTACAACCATCGCAAGACTTTTGTCTTGCGATGGTTGTAAGGTACTTAAAAAAACATGCATAGGCATGTTCGTACTTGCATAGGCACAGATCGTACTTGCGACGATCGCAAGCCACGCCCCCTGAGGGGCGGGCTTCCGATGACCGCAATGCTGAACGGGCAGTGTTACGAACATGCCACAAACCCGCCGAACGTCGTACGATGCTCGGCGGGTTTTCGAACATGTCCGTAAGTTCAAAGTCGTGCGACCTTACAGTAGTAGAGGGCGCACGGCTTCCACACACCTTACGCGGGATTTCCCGCGATTATCGTACGATTATCGTAAGGTGTGTGGGGACCTTAATTCTAGTTATGCACATGATTTGATCTCTTACAGGCACTCCGTGCAAAGAAGTTTACTGCTAAAGGTTTCAAAGAAAACAATGTCAAGAGGTTGTAGTACCAAGGGTGGGTAACTCCAGCTCTGCTTTAACTACAAAGCCCAACATGTCTCTGCCTCTGGGAGTCATGCCTGTGACTGTCAGTCTTGCAATGCCTCATGGGACTTGTACTTCCACAACAGCTGAAGGGCCGGAGTATCCCACCCTTGCTGTAACACCTCTACAGGTTTTTCCAAGTGGTCACTGGAAAATTACATTCATCTTAAATAAAAAGTGCACTTGTCTTTTCTCTATCCCCACCCCTGATGCCACTGCCCCCATCTGCAGTGACTGATGAGTGTGGAAGCAAGTGAGCCCTTATGATAGTCAGGCAGGGAGCATTTTCAGAAAGGGATCAGTAATGACAGCCTGTATATATTTCTCATCACCGGTATACTTGTGTCTGGTGGTTTTGATGTGACTGACTGCAGCTCACAACCTTTCTTTTCAATCAGGATGGCGGCCTAGTGGAAGAGCCCACTACTTCACCATTTTTGCCTTCACCAAGCCTGAAGCTCCCCCATCCAAACAGTGCACTCCCTAATCAAGCCCTTGGTGGCATGACGCCAGGCCTAAACATGCAGAACTTGAATTCCTCTAGACAGGTAAGATAAATGGGTGTCAGAATGCAAGACGTAAAACTAACTAATCTGTTTGAGTGGCTTCTGTGGGAAATAATACATTTGTGAGCCGTGTTTATTATCTTTTGCAGAACGAAATGAGATTAGCTTCTAGGACAACTTATAGGGTTTAGGAAAGTTTGGCCACCTGTCTGCAGTCTAGCAATAGTTTAGTTGTTCTAGTCATTGTACTGGAAAAAGTGGATTATTGATAATGTATTACAGGTACACACAGAGCTTCACATGCATATTCACATCAGTCCCTGCCCTCAAGGAGCTTACAATCTAAAGTCCCTATCGCATACCATACTGGGCCGATTAAACAGGAGCAAATGAACCTTCCAGCATGTCTTTAGCGTGTGGGAGGAAACCGGAGTACCTGAAGGAAGCCCACACAAGCACAGGGAGTATATCATTCAGGCTTGGATTTGGGGAAAGTAAATGTAGGTCTGGGCCCAGAAGGGCAACATATTATGGGGCCACAGGCTGGCCCTTGCGTCTTTATTTTCTTACATCTTTTTTTGTAAACATTCAGGAAGGAAAATATATTAGGATGCAAGATTTCAGGACATGTAAAACACCCATCAGTGGTGTACTGTGCATCTACAAGGATTTGTGATCATAAAGTCTGGTGCAGATGTCTCGTCTAGGAAGACACATAAACCCAGAACTGATAACGATATTCCCTTCACAGATACAGAGTGGCAATCTGGGTATGTTTGGCAATAGTGGAGCAGCACAAGCCAGGTCCATGCAACAGCCACAGCAGCCACCAGTGCAACCTCTCAACTCATCCCAGCCTAGTCTTCGTGCTCAAGTGCCTCAGTTTTTATCCCCTCAGGTGAGTCCCGGAATCTGGTATTTCCTTAATGTCTTGGCATGTTTACAGTGAAAAGGTATGATGTCTGTACCGTGTAATTTTGCACTAGTCACAGAACACAATAGTCACAGAACACAATAAATGGTCACCAGCACTCCAAGTTTTCTTCAATATGAAATCCTTTTATTCGTTTTAGCAGGTCATATCACCATGCGTAGCAACGTTTCGGAACTTGTCCGGTCCCGTCATCGAGCAAACAAAGTGAAGGGACCAGACAGGTTCCGAAATGTTGCGCATAGTGAAATGACCTGCTAAACTTTACAAAAGGATTATATATAATACTATATGGGGTTTCTCGGTCAGGAGTGTGGTGGGGCTCCCTATTGCAAAATAAGAAAGGACCTATGGGTAATTCCATATTAGTAAGAAGTCCTACTACTGAAAAATCTAGTTAGGGAGAAAATAAAATTAAAACCAAACGTTAATGAGCAATTAAACTAGAACTCCAAGCAAATAGATGAATACACAGATGATATACTGTATTTGCCGGCGTATAAGGCGACTGAGTGTACTAGACGATCCCCTAATTTTCTAGTTAAAACATAGGTTTTGTACTCGTCGTATAAGACTACACCCCTTCCGAGGCTTCATATTTCCTTCTTCTTGCTGGAGCCATGATGGGGTGCTTGTATACCAGCCATTTTGATTTAAATACACCCACTAATCTGTCAGCCCGCTGGATGTGCGGTAATAATGTATGTACGGTAGCTTCGGCTACATACAGTATACTGCGCTGAGCCAATCACGGCGAGCAAAGTATTCTATTAATGAATTCAAAGCCTGCTCGGATTGGCAGAGGTTGTGTACATTGCTCGCCGTGATTGGCTCAGCGCGGTATACTGTATGCAGCCGTAGCTACCATACATACAGTATTACCGCACATCCAGTGGGCTGACAGATTAGGGACGTTCGTTTTGGGCCAGCATGGCCCAAACAAACTAAAGGTTCACATTGTATACCCGGCGTATAAGATGTTTTTAAGTATAAAAAGTCGTCTTATACGCCAGCAAATACGGTACACATATGGGAACCGTTTTACCTGCCAAAAGATTTGTATTTCTGTACATCCAGTCTGAGTTTTACACTACTCTGACACCCAGTACAGCCCTGTCTGGCAGTGCAGAAGATCTAACTTTTTTTCTGTTGTACTTAAGTAACACTTGCAGGTCTTGTCCCTTCCCCTAGCATTTAACTGGACAGTCGAAACATTTTTTTTTACCTGATTGAATAACTCATCTGTGTCACTCTGTTGTTTTTTTTTCTTCTATATGCATGCTCGTAGCTAGCACATGAGTACTGCAGTACAGCTGATTAGCTTGTTGTGCTGCTTTTCCCTCTCTGACCTGAGCTCTGCTGTACAGGAACTACAAGAGGCTGATACACTGCTGCATTAATATGTGATTGTTAGAGCTCTGCTTTAAATGATGTCTTGCATTCCAAGGGACAATTAAGCAAGACATTTCCACTTCTGCCCCCTCCAAGTTTTTAAAGCCTGACATGGTTCTATTTGTTTTTTTTGTAACTACAGCAAAGTCACATATATTGCACTTCTTATGCTGATCAGTCCTCAGCCTAGTGCTAAGAAGGGTATTGCGATCATTCTCCATGTAAAGGGGATTCTAGACTAGCTGACAGGGTGCTCATTGATCTGTCTGACCATCCAGCTTTAGTAATTCCTGGTATGGTTGCAGGTCAGATCTGTGTTTAGCAAAATGTGGTTACATTTGTTTACCAACTACAATATGCCATTTCATTAATATATATGTGTAGGTACACAGGAGAGCAAGTAAAAGGTTTTAGGGAAAAGTAAGTACATTGAATAAATAGAAATCCTTTACATAGCCCCAGTCCCTCTGGCTGGCTGCATACTCCAGTTCAGGGACCAGCTTTGGTACACTGTGGGAAAAACTCTATAGACTTTAAATGGTACTTATCCATATTCATTGGATGCCAGTACTGGTGCAATACACATTTAGGAAGCTAATCGCCAATTTTAAGGCATGCCAGCCAGCAAGCTCAAAGCTATGCTGGTGCTTGTTTTTGTTATAATTATTATTGCAATGCATAGCACATAACGTGTGTGTGATGTGAATGTGCTTGCCGTGCATTGTGATATGTTACTATAAAGCTTTGCAGTGCTCAGGGTTTGTTTGTTTTTTAACCCCTATGTAAATTCTATGCACTGCAGCATGTTGTGACGCGTTTCGATAAAATAATGCCTGTGTCATTTTATCACAATACACATCAACGCAGCATGTTGGTCTGAACAGGTCCTGTACAAAGCAAGCCTTTGTGCCTGGTCTTTGCATTGGTGTAAACGAGCCCTTAGTGTTCTTTTGTGTTAATAAAATGCTCTGTTAACCAAAATTGCACCTTGACATGGGGAGTTGACACCACAATTTTGGGCTTTAAAAAAAAAGGTTTATGCTGCACCTTGCTATTTTAAGCTTTAACCACCAAGATGCCATGCAGAACCACAAAAAAGAGTAACAGATGGCAAGAAGTTGCACTGCGTTGGTGATCCTCTTTAAAGATAGCGTGTAATCTCTTCAACTCCAGTTAAATAAGACGGCTACAGCTCAGTAGGCACCATACGGAGCCGACCTGCAGGGCTGGACCTTCCTCAGAGTGCCGCTGATGATCCCTTAAAAATCGTACACAAAGAACAACTTTATAAAGTTGTTTTCTGCTTGGGGCTAGGCATGCCAACACCCTCAACCCCACTTAGAACTGCTCAGGGCTGTCTGTTTAGGCAACAAGCAGTCCAATATGGGATGGTGGGGGAGAGTGTGCATCTGTGCCCATAATTGTGTATGTATAGGTAACTGTACTGGAGATTACAAGGTCGCTTTAAAGTCGGCCACAGAGCCTGTGATATCAGAACTCCAAGAATCCATTTATATTAGTTTATAACCCAGTACAGGGCAGCATATCGTTTTGTGTGGACTTTCATCAAATCTCTTTGAAATAACACATTTACATTTGTATAGCGTTTGGACTGTCATGTCATACTCTTCTGGTTTTCTGTTCTTTTGTAGGTTCAAGCACAGCTTTTGCAGTTTGCAGCAAAAAACATTGGTCTCAACCCTGCACTATTAACCTCGCCAATTAATCCTCAGCATATGACCATGTTGAACCAGCTCTATCAGCTGCAGTTGGTGAGTAGCAACCGTCATAATCTCTAAATAGGCATTTCTTTCTGATTCATTGCGGGACACAATAATTCACAAACATTCAAGTTATACTGCAGCCTACAGGTGTTTGGGGCACTGGCAAACAGAAATTTTTTTTGCCAGCCCCTTCTCTAACCAGCATGCCTCAGATGTTTGCTCCTTCGTTGAAAAAAAAGTCTATTTTTTGTTGGCCTTCTTAGCTCTCCACCCCCCCCCCCAATCCAT